CATAATTTGAAAAACAGACATGGTGAGGGTGGTGAGCGGGGTAGTGGGGCAGGGTATGCCGTATTGGGGAGAGCCATCAAGCTGGTTGTTGGTGGGGTTTCAATGAATCTCCACAAAGGAGGGCGGTCGCCCAATATTTTTGGAAAAATCGACGGCCAGCGTGGGACCCTGCGTTTGGGACAAGCCGCAGTAACTCCTTCACCTTTCTCAACCTTTGCCTTACCTATGAACATATACCCGGACGCGCTGTCGAAACCACTATGCGGTCCGTGCTCGCATTTAATAGCCAACTGCTGCTCCAGTTTCTCTGGTAAAGGACAAGAACTACATATATATGGAACAAATTGAAGTGTCGAATGTCGCTGAACTTTACGGCTGGAGCAAACTTGTTATTTGCCGTAGTTGTCAGCCCCAGTCTCACTTTCAATGGGGTTATTAAAACATAGTTTGAGGAGAATTCTTCCCAATCGAGAATCATCGACTGATTCAGAAAGCGTAAACGATGTTTGTTGTAGGCTGGAGAAAAATTCTGGCGTCGAGCCAAAAACAAGCGAAGAACAGCTTTCGGTTGAAGCCACACTTCATTCTTTATGCATTGATCTTTACTAGATAGAAACGATTACAGTATCCTACCAGAAATAAGTCCTCCAAATGAAATTGTGCCTATGTGGCTAGGAAAGTTAAAGAAGAATGACTAGAAATGTCAGAAGGAGGTTCAATATTTTCTGAATTTACAAGCTGTCGCCCGAAGGCAGTACCCTGAAAATAACCATGTCAGGTTACTTGAGCTAACGAATAGGTGATATCCAGTGCCAGAAAATGCAAAAAAAGATCTCGGAACGAGTTGTACAGAACTATTATTTACATGCCACGATTCCCTTTTTTTTGATATGTATGAACTCTCCAATACCATTAAAGTTGCAAAATAGAAGGCACCGCTCCTTGCACCTCAAAACTCACCAACACGATACATGCCAGCCCTTAGGAACAATAAACTAACGACTTCCCACGTCACAACCGCCAGATGTACCACCGGTGTTCCTTCTTCAGGCGTTTTATGGTCTACATATGGAAGAGAATTCTTCGAAGATTGCATAAGGGTTTTAAGGAAATTTAGTAGAATTTCCTGTATCAGTAGCTCGAGCGGAAATACATCCCTCGCTTTTTTTCAAGGCTACAGCGGCCTCTTTAATATTTGCTGATTATTTTCTGAGATTATTGTAGCCCGAAACGCGCCACTCGCTGGGCATTTTGGTGTACAGAGCTTGTGCATGTATTGGGAGATCAGACGCGACCAAAAAGGTTGCTCATGCGCTGAACACAGGTTGAACTCGATACTGAATGCTGCTTCATCTCCTCAAAGAATCAAGAAAGCCTCGGGTGAAGGCACTGCCGTAAAAGGGACCCGATCAATCATTTCTTGTTGTTTTTGATTGGTTTTCCCAATAAACTTGTGTGTGAAATGAAAACGGCTGGTAACTTCCGCTCAACCTAATAATTAAGAGAAAACTATAGGACGTCAGATACAAGATCAGCGAGGATGGTGAGGATGTGAAGGAAGTCAATCAAAATACATGTTGGACGGCAGAATCAGATTTACTACGGCTTAATCACATGCATTCGACTTTACACTAACTAGAAGAGTTACTGCATTAACCGATGAGCTGCTGAACTGCAGAATTTAAAGTCATAAAAAGATGAGATGTATGGGATTTGATTTGTGGGCTGTGTGACAGAGTAAAGTTCAAATACTACGATTTGTGGCGTTGAGAAGGAACAACTATTCTTCAAACACTTGGGAAGATGAGGCTCCGACAGCGGCTAGAAAGGAGTGCAAACCCAGTTCGCAGGCAACAGAAGGTACACAACATGCAGAAAACCTCCACGTTATCAAACCTCTAAACCATAATCATCCCATCAAAGGCCACTTATCTGCTATGGCACTTGACAGGTCTGCTCCTGGCGATAACCAATCACTTCGACAAGTGGCAAGGAAAAAGTCGAATTTCCAGCACCAGTGCCTCTGACAGTCGTGACGAATCCGCTTGGATCCATCAAAATTCATTCTCAATTCTTAGAGGTCAATATGGTTCAGACTTGTCTGGGAAGAACAGCAAGTATGAGTAGAACCAAGCAGTTCTCAGCACACGAAAATTCTTGGCAATAATTCAGAATTTCTGGGAAGTTCACGGAAATTTTTGTGATTTTTTTAACGTCTTAAAAAAATGCCGAGGAATTTTCGGAGTTTTGAGTTTTTGCACTTTCGATTGTATTTTAGTACACATCCCTCCTTTTGGGATTCGTCGGGCCGTAGTGTCTTTTGACACACAGGATAGCCTTACTGTGGCGTTCCTACCACTCACAGAGTGCCGCCTCGCCCCGTGCATGGATGCTTCGGATTCTTCAGTCTCGAAGATCGGTTTGGGGGAGGGTATTCAACTCTATCCTGGCGAATACTCCTGCCTCGACTTTTTAGTGTTCAAACTCGCAAGTCTGGGGTCGAATAGGGTGGGTAGGTATTGCCAATAGTATTGACTGAAGGAGAGATAAGATAAAGGAGATTGTAATGGCTGCTAAATCCTTCCACACGTGGCTTTGTTTAGGCTAGAATAGGCTTTTTCCGCTAGACGCGTTAGTGCTTGTGTGAACCAAGCACGCTTCCAACTTGCTTTGCAATTCCATATGTAACTCGAAATGCATGGCGCTGACTTCTTTATTGTCCCAGCTATCTGTGGAGATTTCGAGGCTGTTTGACTCAATCTAACGCTGCCGATGTCTCCGCTCTCTGGTTGGTCTCTGTTTCAGAAAACCAGAAGCGTGTCGAGTGCACGCCACACACCACAAGTGACGACGTTATTCAAGAAAATATGTAACTAATGATTTATAGTGATAGCTGACAGCTGGTAATGAGGGTTTAATTAGTGACAACTGATAGAATAGTGAATAGTGCAACAGGTTAATTATTTCATTCACAGAAAACATTCAAATTTTGTGAAAACCGTCGTCACTTCTGGTGTGTGATCTGTACTCGACGCGCTTCGATTTCTGGAACAGGGTATACTTTGGTTTTAGAAACAATACTACTGATTCAGAATTTAAATTCTTTCATACTTATGAATGGAAATTGAACGCGTGGCGCATTGTAAAGGCGATGATCAGATCTGATTTTTCGTCCTACGGACACAATACAAAGCAACAAACAACGGTGAAATGAAGCATGCACTTTCAGTTGAAAACGTTCATATGCACTATAATTGAAATGCCCTTATCGGGCAACCGTCCTCAATCGGTCTAAAAACTAATCTTGTTTGGTGACACAAACCCGTCTACGTGCAGAACAGTAACAGGTCGCTCTTTGTTCTTGGATGTGCAATTTTCTCGTGTCTTTCATGCCTTTGATAAAAGCTAAGGGATGGGTTTCAAGCGTGATAAATCCATCCTGGATGCGCCATGCATCCCACTTGCATTTTGTATCGTAATGGGCTCATGAATTGCCGGATGTTACATGTCATGTGGTTCTTATCTTCCCAGACAAGCGTAGATACCAATTTACTCGCCTCGGAGGGACAAGTGGCTCACTCGATCTGGGAGGCTGATGACACTGGGCGTTGTTCTCAGACCATATGAATTGCAAACTGCGCCACTTGCCTTTACACCGCTCCTACCGTCCTTTGATATTTGATATTACTTGAAGCGGTGTTGATAAGGCCCAAGCAGTGGAATTGGATGTAAGGCTAACTTCTTTGCCGCTTGGTATGCTTATATCCCCGTTTCCTATAGCAATAGGGGAAGGCGGAGGGTATTTTACATGGATAGGTTTGGGTGCTATTTTTACTTTGCTTAGAGTTTTTTTTTATGAAGATACATGGTCCACCATCCTTCTAGAATGAAGCAGGGATCACTGCTTCCCAGTTTCCTCTAAGAGATAGGGATTATTGCAAAGCTTACACAATCGCTCTTGTCTAGTTCTCCTACATTGTCATCATATTCCTCAAAAAAAGTGCCAGCAACGTCTCCATTCACCCGTTTCGCGTGCCAGGAGCTGTTATGGATGCTCTGCCGCTCGACCGACACCGAGTCTTTGAATCCTTCCGTGCCAAGCTTTCATGAAGAAGTCTCATCATTGATCTAGCCGTGTTCTCAGTCGTGCGACATTACGAGTGTGGACGCTTTGGTCAATTAGCGTGCTTCAGCAAAATGCAGGAAAAATGCCCAGTCAAGCCCCAGCTAAAGACGTTTACAAATCGCAGGTTTAGGAGCCAATTATCCTAATGCTTTAAAAACTGAGTTTTTAAGATGTGCCTACGGTTGGTTATTGTTGTGCTATTCTTTCGTTGGTCTTCTATGTGACTGGTATGTTTGGGACCCACCCAACGGAACGAAAGTGTTTCGGATCCGGCAGTTTCTGCGGATGGGCAACCTTTAATTCAGTTTGGTGGTGAGTCATTGGGATATGTACAAACTGGGTACTAATAGGTACAGTAGCCGTCAAAAAGTGTTGCGCCGAAACAAATTTAAAGGGCGTTTATTTTTTCTCGCTTAAGTAACGCCGTCCAAAGATTAGTACACTATGTGATTCTATACTGTTTTTATATCCTCAGGTCATGAAAGAATCAGGAATACTCAGAAGAAAAATTTTCGGGCCACCATTGATTCTTTCTGGAAAAAAAATGAGAAGCACGAAAAACCGTTTCGGCGAACACTTTTGACCGCTACTGTGGGCAGAGTCAACCCTGCGTTGCGCAGTTCTCAACGGCCACGTTGCGCAGTTTCGCAACGATTTGGATCACGTTTGCGCTGCATGCTCGGCCGTCTGTGTCTCGCCATACAGTGTCGCGTTTGAGAAGGGATCTCTCAACGTGCCGTTGAGAACTGCGCAACGCAGGGTTGACTCTGACTGTGAGTGCGTGCAACAAGTCGCAAAAGTCTGTACAAAGATTTATTTCTTTCCTGCCTATAAACTTTTTCTTCAAAATAGACGATTTTCATGAAGAGCTTTCCTAATCGACTGGTTTCCCTTTTCGAATCTTCATGTTCCGCTCATGGTAGTCGAAGATATCCTCCAACATGCATTCAGTTTTTGCCAGTGTCATCTCCAAGCTCTGGAATTTCTCATTTCAACAGTAACCTTTTGACGTCCTCTTATGGTTACTTACAAAGGTCGCAGTTGTGATGGCTAAGGCCGCGTTCATAATCAGGTTTCTCTTATATATCAGATCAGGCGATGATCTAACATATGTATTGATTGGGACTATAGAAGATAAGATGACCAGAAGACTAGTGATTAGAATTTAGCTGGGAGTGTTAAAAAGGGTTGAGAGTTTCGAATGGAGGTCTAGAAATTAGGAGATTCAGCTGAGAAGATAAAATAAGTGTTTATTGATCTCATTGGAGGCTCCCAATCTCCTTTTCTCATTTTCCCAATCAACACTTAGCTGTTCTCTTGAGCTGAAACAAAGCAGAAGTTTCTCATCCCTTGTCTCCCAGCCCTTTACCCTTACTATCGCCCAAAGCGTTGAGTATGAACGCTGCCGAAGCAATCCACCAGTCTAGTTCACCCTGTGGATTGCTCCGGCAGGTAGCTGATTGTGAACGTTCTCCTGAATCAAAATTATTGCCCTTCCTCGAAACATGCTTTACCTGTTTCCTGCGCTCTTCATCTGGATCTCTGTTTATCACCTCGAACAAAGGCTCCAGAAATGGCAGAAATATGAACGCACCGGTTGGGAAGAATTGCCGATAGGCCTCTTTGAGCTGAATTGGTACATCTTGTTCTGCTGCTTTCAACGCTATAAGTGTTATAGGTGAAAATCTATACCTGCTCTAATGTGTACGGCATTTTTCTGCTGCCTATTTCCTCTCTGAGATAGCCATAGAAGTCATCAAGGAGTTCTTCCCAATGTGCTCGCCTATCTTCGCCACTCAGAAAAGCTGCGGTAATAAAAACAATGTCCGTTGCAGAGCATCCGAAATGAGCTAGCTAAATGGAGTCGAGATTACTTATTCTTTTTTGAGAGCAAGTATAAAAATGTGGCAAAGTTTAGAGCTGGTCAACTGGTAGAGGTGGTTAAGAAGTGTTCAAGTTCTCCTTGGAATGCCACCTGTCTCAACCTTCCCCAATCGTAATATAGCATATCATTGTTTAACTGATCTGTACAAATCTTTCATCAGAGCCGGGAACACACTTACGACAGCGTGGCGCCGTATAGGGCTTTACCAAACCAAATTTTTCGGAAGCCGAGGAGGTAGCAGAAGCGGGACAGGGCTATAGTAACTCTGAGAGATACTGGACAGGTCTACTTATCCAATCTACAATCTCGGTTGCTTCCCCGTGTGAGGTTATGTGGAGGCCAGTCTCGGCCCACGACTGTGAATCGGGCTGATTGATAAGAAGTAGGACTCCCTATGGCTCCGACTCCGTCTTGGGCGATTTCTGGCTCTGAAGCTACCTCCATCGCCTCCTTAAGGAAAAAGATTCCGACAAAGATTCAGTTGCAGGGGAGCCCGTCACTAGATTAAGTACTATTTCCCAAGCTTTTGGATAAGGGAATCAACAAGTTGGTTGTGTGTTGGCGTCGAGTGATAGACGATACCTATGATGTTCATTTTGTATCGTTCGTAGAAAAATTGCAAAAGAGACGGGACCGGAAACTTTTCCCAGCAAGCCGTAGTTTGACGCTTTGCCAAACAGATGCTGCATTACCACCATTCCGCTCAGTCACTCTAGGGAAATTTCAACCACCTTTATCCAAGGAGCGTAAAAGAAGGGGTTTGGATAATTCTTCTATTCATTCTTTTCTTGTTGTTAGTCACCTGATAGTCTATTACAGCAAACAAATTGAGGCCATCTTCGCAATGCCTCCAAAGAGTGTTCGGAGGGTAGAGATCTCCGTGGCACAAGACACGCTCCATCCCTTAAACGCTCTGATGAAATCCAAGCAATATCAAAAAGGTGATAAGCAAAGTGATAAACACTTGACAGCGGCGATTCTTCCTTGTCATACTTTCTTGAATGCGTTCTGTATCTTTTGATAGAAGATAAAAATCGTTTTATATTGGAAACTTGAATATAATGGAATGCTCAAAGACAGCGAACACGATGGCTGAAGGATGGTGCGGTTTTGACGACTTCTCTGAACGTCAATGGTTGAAGGGCATTAAGAGGGGGCCCTAACCACAGTCTCCAGCGAGCTGAGGGGTCCAGCCACCCATAACGTTCAACGATGTCATCAAAACGATACCGCCCTCCAGCCATCCTGATTTTCCTATAGAAAATAGCTTCAAAAATCCGGCGATGTTCCAAGCGGTGATTCTTCTCAGCGTCATAGCATTAGATGAAAAAGCAAGTCGTTGCTTCATCAATTCCCTTGATAGGGCAAAGGCCCTGATTTTATCAATAAACTGCAGCTTGAAAGGAATCTTTGGGCAAACGCCAAACATCCTGCAAGGCGAATGTGGCTATGTTTCAGGTATGAAGGCAGTGAACTCCACAAGCGTAATAAAACAAGCCCTAGTTGGATTAATTTTGCATGGCCTGAGTGAGGAGTGTAGGCGAATACGGCCGCAACGTACGAAGATTTGCTCTAAGAGACTCCTAGCTAGGATTGCTTGACCAAATTTATCAGTTAAAGGAGGACTGATGATTAACGACAAGGCCGGGGGTCGAAGCAGAGGGAACTCGAAAGGAGGTTCTCCCTAACGTTGCGGGCAGAGCAGAGTGCTCACTTTGATAACATCAGCACGATGAAACTTGCATAAATGCTCGATCAACAGGCTAAACCAGTCCGACTTCTCGGGTTTTAAGCTCTATTTCTTG